CGAGCTCGAGCCCGAGCCCGAGCCCGGCCTGGCGGGGCCAGGCGCGAGCGGAACCCCCAAAGGGGAAAAAACCTGCCCCCTCCGCCGAAAAATAACGCGGAAGCCAAGGGCTCCGCTAGGAAACAAGTACAGTTATATACACGGCACGTAGGCCAGACTGTCCAATTCTTTTGATTTTTTTTATTATTTCTTTTTTTTTAATTTTATGATTTTGCTTTGTTTTATTAATTTAATTTTTATTTTCCCCTTTTTATTATTTTATCCTTTATAATTGTTTCAATTTTATTTATTCTCATTCTTCTTCTTCTTATTTCTTAACTTGTTTGATTCTAACCTCACAGCGCGTCACAGACCCCCCTGGAAACCTGCGGGCTGCGGCTCTCACAACACTTTTCCTGTCAAGGATAGTTTTAAGTAAGTCCCTTGATGCTCTAACTCTGCAGCCATCCATGCGTTTCCCAGTTAGGCTTATAGCTCTGAATATAGAATATATATAAAGAAATATGAATGCAAATCTGGGCCGCTACTGTTGTTAGTCATGGCGTAACCTGCTGGAAATTACAGCTTGGCGCCTTCCAGCGCCCTCATTAAAATGCCTTCCGCCAGATAGCTCCTCATGCTTGCATATTAATAAGGCTTCTTGGGGATAATTAAGCAGTGACTAATCCATGGGTGAACATAACTATCCAGAAGAGGCAGAAAAAAAAATGATGTGTAAGTAAATAAATCATATATGCTACTAAAACTTTTTGACAGTAACAATTTAGATTCACTGACCTATAATCGTTTAAAATAATCTTTTTTGTTTGTTTGTTTGTGTTTTTTTCTTAAAGTAGATAGGGCCATCTTTGATATTGTTCTGCTTTGCACTAAGAAAATCGATGCATGGAAAAATTGCGGAAACTGTTTTTGCCCTGTGTAGCGTTCGGTGACGGTTATTGCATGTCTGGGAGTTTATCTCCCTCTAGCGGGTTGGCCCTGCGGAACGCGCGGCTCGGCTGGACCTGGGCTCGTGTGTCACCCTCCTTAGCTAACCGCGGAGATGAAGATCTGCGGATCTGCTGCTTTGAACCCAGGGGCTGCTATGAAGGGTCCGTCACATCTGCTCTCCGTCCAAGAGAAAATGTAGCGCTTAGGTCAGTATAAGCAGTTCAGAGGTGGAAGAGGATCATGTTATGTAGCACTTAGGTCAATATAAGCAGTTCAGAGGTGGAAGAGGATCATGTTTAAGTTGGACAGGGAAAAAAAGGGGCTTCTGCTCTTCTAGTGAAAAGCAGGATTACAGAGCGGACTTGCAGTCTCCTGAAACGCTCATTAATTCTTTCTGGGCAGATCAGAATGATGCAAGTGGGGGACGTTTGTTACTGACACTGAAAATACGGAACAAAAATTTCTCTCCCTGTCTCGAGGCATGGTGTAGGTACAGACACAGTCACTGAAAGCTTGCTGATATAACCCATATGTGCTATTACAACATATTACACCATTCAAGCTGGTTCTGCAAGTCGGTTGGGATTGCTGTCAGTACCTCTGGTTCGTGACTTCTCCATGTCCATGGTATAACCAGAACGCTTCTCCCTCTGGCTTGAAACCGTGTAAAGACTGGAGATGAGAACCATAAGACACTTCACTTTGCAGCTTTACGAGGTTCTTTGCATTTCCTGGGGGATTTTGTGTGAATTTTTGTACTCTCTGTGGGGCAGGTGATAATGCAGAAGAGTGAGTGGTGACAGAAATTCATCCAAAGTGAGTGCAACACATTTGCGGAGGTTACAACTTGAGAGCTGTGTTGCTGATAGTGGCAATATGCTGCAGTGAGAGCTGGGGGCTGGGGGCTCCTTTCTCTTTCTTTTTTTTTCTTTTTCTTTTTTTTTTTTTTTTTGACCCATATATCATTTCTCTGGAATAATAAGATGTTTTTAGCACTCTCTTTTGTGAAAGTATTATCATAACTACTGTTAATTATAATTTTTCATGCTACTTATAATTGTTAAGCTTGTGATATAAATTATCTCTCAAAGGCTAGCACTGCATAGGGATTTTAGGTGTATGAAGTTAATTCGCTGAGATTTTGTTTTTAAGGATTTTTGCAGTTAATATATTGGCTTATGTTACTTTAATCATTTTCTAGTATTCAGAATCTGTGTTCATAATCAGAATAAACTACGTAATACAGGCTACATTTCACGGGTTTAAAGGGGTTTAAACATTATTCTGATGGAAGCTGAACACTGATTATGTAAAATAAATGAACATTTATTCTTAATTGCATTTCAGCTTTGGCATATGTCTGAGTGAATGTTTATCATGAAGATAAAGCATCAGTTATCAGAGTGTTTTGTACTGGTAGGCAACCTGCTGTGAATAATAAATTCTGCCATTAGGAGTCAATAGATTTGAATTTATTTGTGTTAGTCCTCAAGCTGAAATCTGGCCTTTCTTTATTGGCATAGCCTGGAACATCCTTTCCATAATGAATACTGAAGGGAAATTAAGGTAAGAAAAAATAGCTTTTCTGAATGGATACAGTGTTGTGCAAGTGCTTGTAGTTGTTACTTTAAGTGCTTATTTTAGAGGCTTTCTAACACTGCGTGTTTAGAATATATAGACTCGCATTTAGGAAAGATGTTAATGTGGCTGCCTACTTTAATACGAATCGCAGCTATGCCAACAAAGCTAAAGGAAAAAAACATGCCATTTAAGGAACAGCAAAGTTTGCGAGTGAAGTTTTTACCCAACTTTATTTAGAAACTTGCTTAAGTGCACCGGATGCGGGGGGAAACCAGAACACACTTTTGGATTGTCATACCAAAGGCAGGAAGGTTCCCACACAGCCCTGCTCCTTATGTAGCTTCTGTTTCTTATTTAGGTTTTGTTTTTAATACTCAAAGGCTTTTAGTGGTGTTCCGACAATCAGGGCCTGGAAATCTGTCTAAACTAAAGCAGGTTTTGTTTGTTTACTTAGAAGTGCTAACAGACCCGAGCAGCCCCACTGCTTTTTTCCAGCTTTGCACAATTTTAAAATAGACTGAATTGATTCACAACAGATTTGACAGAAAGCGATTGTCTTTGGTCACTTGATTGCAGAAAGAAGCACGGAGCTGGTTCCAGAAAGAAGGCAGAGCCGAGTCCTGGCAGGA